GCAGTGTTGAGGTGATATGAGAGTGACATGTCAGCAGTGTTGAGGTGATATGAGAGTGACATGTCAGCAGTGCTAAGGTGACATGAGAGTGACATGTCAGCAATGCTAAGGTGATATGAGAGTGACATGTCAGCAGTTTTGAGGTGATATGAGAGTAACATGTCAGCAGTGTTGAGGTGATATGAGAGTGACATGTCAGCAGTGTTGATGTGATATGAGAGTGACATGTCAGCAGTGTTGAGGTGATATGAGAGTGACATGTCAGCAGTGTTGAGGTGATATGAAAGTGACATGTCAGCAGTGTTGAGGTTATATGAGTGACATGTCAGCAGTGGAGCAACATAGTGACATGCTCCCTGATGGAGAAGTGGCAAAGTTAAAAGATTATTAATAATAAAAAATTTTCAAGGGGTGGACCGGGAAGCCAGTGGAAGGCCTCGGTCAGATGATGAAAAGCTTAAGTGGTGGACCAGGAAACACTTGCTCAGTTTCCAGTGATGTTGATGGCTGGTATCATCTAATGCTTTAGTCCAGGTTGGATACCATGAGTATACCTGGAGAGGGTTTCGGGGATCAACGCTCCCGCGGCCCGATCTGAAACCAGGCCCCGTTGGGTGGCTCAGAGTCTGATCAACCAGGCTGTTACTGCTGGCCGCACGGAAACTGACGTACGAATCAAAGCCATGCTGATCAGGTACTGACTTTAGGTACCTGTCCAGAGCCTTCTGAGAGACAGCCAGGGGTCTATTGGTAAACCCCCCGTATGTATGCTGGGAGGCAGTTGAACAGTCTCGGGCCTCTGACACTTACTGTGTTTTCTCTCAGTGTACTCGTGGAGCCCCTGCTTTTCATTTAGGAAATGTTGCATCTCCTGTGGAGTCTTTTTGCTTTCGTAAGGAGTGATTATTGTGTGCAAGTTTGGTACTAGTTCCTCAAGGATTTTCCATGAGTATAAAATCATATATCTTATTCGCCGGTATTCCAGGGAATTCAAATCAAGGTACTTCAACCGTTCCCAGTAATTTAGGTACTTTATAATACTTATGTGTGCTGTGAAAATTCTCTATATATTCTCCAGGTCAGCAATTTCACCTGCCATGATGGGGCCAGTTAGGATACATCAATATTCCAGCATAAAGAGAACAAGCGATTTGAAGAGAATTATGAGATTGGTGTCCTTCGTTTTGAAGGTTCACATTATCCATCTTGTTATTTTTCTAGTAGATGAGAATGATACATTGTTGTGGTCTTTGAAGGTGAGACCCCTCTGAAGTTATCACTCTCAGGTTCTTCACATTCGTTTTATGCTCTATTGTTTAGTTAGAATTTATTTTATATCCTGATAAAGTTTTAATTTCCTCAGGTTTTCTATATGTGAGTAGTTGAAATTTCGGTTCATTGAACGTCGTATCGTTTCCAGCTGCCCACTTATTGATATGGTTGATATCTGCTTGGAGTCTTCCGGTGTTCTCGATGGAGGACACTGTCATGTCAATTCGGGTGTCAGATATGAGGATGAGGAATAGGATGGGAGAGAGTACTGTGCCTTGTGGAATAGATCTTTTCACTGTAGCTGCTTCAGATTTTACTCTATTTACTATTACTCTTTGTGTTCAATTTGTCAGAAAGTTATTGATCCATCTATAAAATTTTCCTGCTATTCCTTCATCACGCATTTTTGCGCCATTACATGGTGGTCGCACTTGATGAAGGCTTTAGCAAAGTCTATATTCTACATCTGCATTTTGTTTATCCCCTTTATCAAGCAGAATCCAGGACTTTGTCATAGTGGTCCAGTAGCTGGGACAGGCAGGAGCTAGCTGCTCTAAACCGTGTTGTCCTGGGTTGTGTAACTGATGGGTGTCTAGGTGGTTGGCGATCTTGCTTCTTAGAACTCTTTCAAAGATTTTTATGATATGGGATGTTAGTGCTATCGGTCAGTAATTGTTCGCAATTGCTTTACCGTCACCTTTGTAGAGTGGGACTATGTCTGTTGTTTATAGTGAGTGTTGGATGAACTCTGTGTCCATACTTCTTCTCCACAGAATGCTGAAAGCACGTGACAGGGGCTTCTTGCAGTTCTTGATGAACACGTAGTTCTATGAGTCCGGGCCTTGGGCAGAGTGCATGGGCATGTCATTATTGCCTTTTCGAAGTCTTGTGGTGTAGGATAATATCAAAGATTTTTGAAAAGACAAAATTTTGAGTCTTGGTCATAAAAACAACTCATTCAGATTGTCAACCCATAGTCTGGTTTTAAAGGCTTATTGAACAATGAATCATACAGGGACTTTAGTATCTCACTCATTTCTTTGCTGTCATCTGTGTAGGTTCCTCTTTTTTGCAGGGGTCCAATACTGAATGGGTTTTTTTTTCCCCTTTGATTTGGCATAAAAGAAGAAGTATCTTGGGTTTATTTCAGTTTCATTGATGGCTTTAAGTTCTTCCTGAGATTTTTGTCTCGTAAATTCCTCAAGCTTAAGTTTCGATATTTGTATTTCTCTTACCAGTGCCTCGCTTCACATTTAAAATATACTGGCCTCTCTCAGCAGCTGTGATTCTGTGCCTTCGTCTGTATAGAGAGTAATCTCTCTGTTTCTAGTTAACATCTTTACTTTCTTTTTCTTAATGGAATGTGCCTTGAGCAGACCTCAAGTGCCACATAGTTAATTATTTCTAGGCAAAGTTTCGGTTCCGTGTTGCTTAAGATAACTTCCCAACTTCTTTCATTTAGGACATGGTTAATTTGTTTCCAGTGTATGTTTTTGTTATTGAAGAGTATTTTGTGAAGGCATCCTCATAAATGATCAGATTTTGCCGGTCAAAAGCCCTGCACATACATGTCTGTACCTCTGTTATGATGTGATCTGAGTATATTGTTTTTGATGCTGTTATATTACATCGTTGTTACTGAAGATGAAGTCCAGTGTAATTTCTAGTCTTGTAAGCTCTATTATTTGCTGGTTTAAGGTGGATTTGGTGAAAAGATTTAATAGCTCATGTATGTTTGTGAATTTTCATATGAGCTGCCCCCCTGGGTTTTATCTCTGCTAAAACATTAATTGCTAAACTTCTCCATTTTAGGTGTCTCAAGTTGAAATGCCCCAGTAGCAAAATGTTTGAAGCAGGAATTGGGATCTTTTCTAAATAGTGGTTAATTTTCAAAAGCTGTTCCTGAAATTGCGGGAAGTTGCATCTGTAGGCTTGTATACAACACAATGACAAGGTTTTGGTTATCGATCTTTTCTGCCTAAACTTCAACTGCATCATTTGATGGGTTTAGTATTCTGATCAAATGAGCAAAATGTGTGATGTAGAGGCCCCAAACCCCCCCTTTTTTGCCTGTATAATCTGGTCAACTGTATAGTCTGGGATCTATATTTCACT